TTCCATGAGAATGTGCCCAAGGATACAGAAAGCTCAATCTACTCGGCCCCTGCCTGGATTCTCCTGCCATAAAGTCCGCCATCAGAGTAATTTTTCTCTATTTCTTACTGATCCATGAAGTACTGAAATACATTAAAAAAGAAGAGATTCAATGAAGCATATTGCACATATCGTTCTGTCGTGTCCTTAAGGCCATTAGGAAACCTGGAAATGTTTGCTGTGAAGTCCCTGTCGGAATATGCTGCGGGGTCATTACAATTGTCATCCGTTGGGAAGGTAGGAACATATTTATTTTTAGGGACAAGACTTTCGGCCTAAAGATGGGAATCTGCACTAAGAGAGTCCTAGAGAACTTGTATTCTGGGCTTTCCTCACTCCCTGGTGAGATTACAGGTGCAACGAACCTCACGCCTGGCCAATGGCTTTCCACTCTGACCAGCTGCTGGAGGTTATGCTTTAGAGAAGACGGTGATCCATCTCAGCACGAGTTCAACAATGTAAATGACCCAGGAATGACAGGAATCTCAAAAGAGCTGAAAGAATATTGTAAATATGCTCATGGAATTGAAGAAAGCACAAATACACAGAGGAAGAAGATAAAACACCGAAGGACCCAGTGTTACCTCTAAATGTAAAAAACACCATCTCAGTGGATGGAATGACAGCATTGCAGAGAAACGCAAGCCCCAGTGAACTCGACGACACAGCAATAGAAATATTCAACCTGAAGCACAAAGAGGAAAAAAGGTTGGAAAATTTAATAGAACCCCAATGACATGAGAAAATTCAAGTGATCTAACACACATGGAATTGGAGTGCCAGAAGAAATAATGGAAGAAAGGATATTTATTGAGGACGTAATGGTAAAACAATCATCAAATTCGATGAAAACTACAAACACATTTAATGAGGTAGGAAAAAACTCAACAAGGATTAGAAAAGGCACATCATAATGAAATTGCTTAAAATAAGTTATGGAAAGAAAATCTAGTAAAAAGCTGTAAGAAAAAAGACATATGAACAGTCACCAAAACAAGTAATATTACAGACTTATCAATAGAAGTTATGT